GAGAGAGAGAGAGAGAGAGAGAGAGAGAGAGAGAGAGAGAGAGAGAGAGAGCGAGAGCGCCCTAGGGTGTGACATTTCCAATCCTCCGAAGCGTTAAGAAAATAAAGAAGCTTGCACGTGTTTATAGACGTAATTGTGTTCTCTCTCCCCAGGCTGTTCTGTCTTTTTATAAGCAAGAATTTGTTTCCGCAACAGGAAGAAATTACAAGCCACACAAGGGGCATCTGCGGCCACCTGTTATCTGTTGTGTGATTTCTGCGTTTGACCCTGGCCGCACGCAAGCGCAATTGATACGGGCAGGTTGAAGTCCTCTTCGGAATTTTCTCAAACTTGGGTTGTTCGTGGAGTTTGCACCGTTCAAAACCAATATAGATCTAGACCAAAAATCAGAAGTCCCATGTGTCTCTATAGCCCGACTGTGATGGACGGTTTTTAGTTTTAGTTTTAGTAATATTTTTACAACACTATTCTGTCGTATTAATGCTAAAGGTTAGAGGTGTCACTAGGGTGTGTAACTACAACGAAAAGTAGGAGTAGAGATAAGGATAACAGATTTTTTTAATATAAAAAAGGAAGTGTAAACCTCATCAGAACATCCGTCAACCACCCACATGACGAATGGAACTTTCAGGTCAACATAAAGTGCAATGTCAATAGCCACATGGCTATCAGTCTTAAAGTATCTCGCATAATTTTTGTGGGCTTTGCCCTTAATGGTCCTGCTCTCGGCACCATTAGCTTTGTTCAAATGTCTGTCTTACATAAGTGGGTAGTTGGCGGGTGCTCTGGTGTGGTTTGCTCCTCCTTTCCTATCAAACATCTATCGTCCTTATCTCCCCCTCCTTCTTTTTTATGTTTGTTACTCTCTTGTAACACCTCTAATCTTCTGCAGTTGCGAGCGCCGTAAAATGTCTACTAAAAACTAAAACTGTTTTACATATTATTATGCGTCAAGCATTATTAACCACCCCCAACAATAAAAGACCCCCCCCCCCCAAACAAACAAACAACATGTATTTGAAGAGTTCTGGTTAGATAAAAAATCATTTCCTTTCATACGTAACCCTGTGTCTTATTAAATCTTCCAGTTCTATTTTTAATGACTGTAGGCGTTTTTACGCCCCTAACAACTCAATTTAGATAGTTTAGGAGGTGGGTATGTCAAGGTCAGCCCAGAGATAAAGGTAGATAGATAGATAGATAGATAGATAGATAGATAGATAGATAGATAGATAGATAGATAGATAGATAGATATAGATAGAGAGATAGAGATAGAGAAAGAGAGAGGCAGAGAGACAGAGAGAAACAGAGAGAGGAAGAGAGGAAAAAGGGAGGCGGCACAGACATAAGGAGACGAGTAAAAAGAAATATTAGTAGTGCATTTGTGTGCGCCCCTGCTCCCCCCTCTCTCTCCCTACTCTCTCTCTCTCTCTCTCTCT